GAAGTGCAGCAGCCAGGTGATATACAGCACGCATGGAGGTGCCATACAAAGCATAGGCTACGAGGTACATGGAGTACCATGGCCGGTGGTGCATTGATCAAACATGTTACGTTTAGATGTGAAGACGAGTGATTTGGCTGCCTCCTGGTCCATAGCCATTTTCAAAAAGGGTCGCTGTTCGCAAGAGCTGCATTGGTTAGCTGTAATTCACAACTGGCTTTCCACGCGTACCCGGCAGCAGCTACTTTACGCAATGCTAAATCGCCTGGAAGTCACTCTGCTGGCAGTCCTGACTATTATGGTACAAAAACATAACTGAACATATGTAATGAAACTTACCCCAGGAGAACCGGTTTCCAAATGCGGCATGCCACTGCTTTCTGTGCTTCGACAACTCAGCAAGCCGGGCCCCTCCGATTTAAAAGCATGACCCTGTAATACATTGAATTTTAACTAAATTTTCCAGTAAGATGCGGTTTAAACGTTGATAATCATGCAAAGTTTTTAGAAAATTTTGTTGGCCAGTAACAGAAGTGATGTAGTGTACCGTCTTCTGCCTGATTACGTCGAGTTCTTTGCGTAGCGCTTTGCCAAAATCACTGTGAACGTTGCTGAAGAGGCTGATAGCACGTTCTTGGATAATCGGTTTGCAGTGATGCAACTCAGTCGCCAGATTTTCAACCAGTTCAGCACGCCCGCTATCACCAAGTACCTGGATTTTCTCTTCTGTTTTCAAAAAACATTTCGAGGCCAGTACAATTATTAGTATGCAAATAAACCAGCCCATGCATGTGAGACCCTTGGCATTACTAAAACGCACCCGCCCAGGACCCATTAATCCTAAGTTCTTGTCTGAGCTATTTCTTACAAGTCAGCGCTTCCCGTACTCAATCATCGACATTACCTCTTCGACACTTTTTCTCCGCCGGATCATCTGCTTCTCCTCCATGATACTAAGTTGAACAACGATGCAAAGAGCAGCGGATAGGCACCCGCCAGGCAATCTGCCTAGAGGCGAAGGGAACAACTGGAATAGCAGTTGCTACATCGAGTCATCAGAGTCACGGACTCGTAGAATGCGTCGAGAATTGCTGTAGCAGCCACCTGCACAGTTAATTTTGTGTTTTTGGCTGTGAAAAAATATTGGGGCTGTGGGTGGCTCGGCAAATTTTTTTGGTTACCGAGCCCAAAATATCAGGCACAAAATATCCTTTATGGTCAGTGCTTATTAATGTCGCAGCAGAGGAAATACCTGAACAGGAGCAGCAATTTATCATTTCTACTACAAAAGTGCAAAGATTCATATACAAAAACAAATTTGCATTTAAAAATACCTTAAGCCACAGTTCTCTCGGCTGGGTGAAATTATCCTCGTCTCCCGAATCATAACGATCCACATCTCCAGTCACGGCAAATGCACTTTCCTTGCAGTCGGCGTGCTCGACTGGACCATTGTAGCTGTTTGGATCGTAATTTGGGATACCTCCTACTCATACCAAACTTATAATTTGGATGGAGGCAGTACAAGGGCAATCAAGAAACAGGTGAATTTGAATGAACCTACAGCTTACTGGAGAGAACTATTTTCGTCCCTCGAGACTAATTTTTTTTTGACTGAATCAAA